CTGATCTTCCTCAAAAAAAAAATAAATAAATAAAAATAAAAAAAATCCTGAAATGCCTTATTGCTCTTTCATTTTTTAGGACAGTTTGCTTGACAAAGAATTCTTAGTTGAGTTTTTTCTTTCAATACTCGAAATAGGCCATCCAACTGCCTTCTGACTTCCATGGTGATGAGAAATCAGCTGCTAATTTTATTGAGTATTCTTTGCACATGATGAGTCATTTCTCTCTTGCTGATTTCAAGATTATCTCTTTTCTTTGGCTTTGACAGTTTGATGTATCTAGGTGTGGATCCCTTTTGAGTTTATTCTACTTAAGAGTTTGTTGAGCTTTTTGTAGATTAATGTTTTACATCAAATTTGCCAAGTATTTGGTCATTATTTCCTCAAATATTCTTTCTGCCCCTTTCTCTCCTTTCCTTCAGGGATTCCCATTATGGATATGTTGGTATATCTGACGATGTCCCACAGGTCTCTGAGACTCTGTTCATTATTCTTCATTCCTTTTTCTTTCTGTATCTAGACAGGATAACCTCAACTGATCTATCTTCAAATTCCCTTCTTGACTGCTCAAACCTGTTGTTGAGCCCTCTAGTGATTTTTTTCATTACGGTTCTTGTTAATGCCAGCATTTCTATTTTGTATATTTTTATAACTTTAATCTCTTTATTGAAACTGTCTATTTGGTGACACATTGTTTTACACTTTCCTTAAGTTCTCTGAATACATTTAAATAGCAGAAGTAAAGTCTGTCTAGTAAGTCTAACATCTTGGCTTCTTCACATATAGTTTCCTTTTTTCCTTTTTTTTCCTGTGTACTTACTTTCTCTGTATGTCTTGTAATTTTTTCTTGAAAACTGGACATACTTTCTCTGTATGTCTTGTAATTTTTTCTTGAAAACTGGACATTTCAAATAATATAATGTAGTAGCTCTTGAAATCAAATATCCCCATTCCCATGGTTTGTTGTTGCTGCTATTTCTTACAGTTGTTACTGTTTGTTTAGTGACTTTTCTTAATCTGAAAAGTTTGTATTCTTTATTGTGTGTGGCTACTGAAGTTTGTTTGGTTAGCTTAGTGGTCAATTCATGACTGGACAGAGACTTCCTTAGACACCTAGAACCAGCAAGTCTCCCAGTCTTTGCTGAGGGACTGTGTGTGTATGTGTTGGGGCATCCTTCCATAATCAGCTAGGCAGGTGACAACTCTGCCTTGGCCTTTACTTCCTGCTTGTGCAGAGCCTCAAGGTCAGCCAGAGTTGAGAGCTTAGTGCCTTCTTAGGTCTTTCCTGAGCACGGGCACAGCTGCACACAGCCCTGGTCATGTGCGTGGCCTTCTAGATTCCCAGATATATGTCAGAGCTTTTCTAAACTCCTATGAAGTTCTCATTCCCCAGCTTTTCCTTTTAAGCTTTTGGTTAGTCTATAGTTTCCCCCAGTGGTTATCTACTGCCTCAGGCAGCTGCTGGGGAAAAGGCTTTAGGCCTTTTAGACTTGGCAAGCTCTAAGTTAGGGACAGTCTTGTAAATGGGATCTTCCAGGAAACCACCAGACAGGTCAAAGAAAGAGAATTCTCTGAGAATGAGGCTTTGAAGGCGCTCCAACTCATTTTACTCCCTCTAGTGTCTGCCGGGTCACGGGTTTTCACTGTGATTGCAGGCACTTGGTTTCCAAGGCTACCATGGAATTGAAAAGGGGGATGGCAATAGGAAATGCCACAAAGTCCATTGTTCTTACTGAGATTCAGCTGTTTCTTTTTAATAATTACTCCCTGAATTGCTCCAAGCATCTGGTAAATTTCCAGAGTCCTGAAGAAGTTGATTCTGTTAAATTTTGCCAGTTGTTTCACTGCTTTCATGGAGAGAATTTTCTGAGATCCTTACTCTGCCATCTTTGCTGACATCACTCAAGTTTTCTTTTTTAAAAAATGCTAAGCAAGTTTACCAACTTATTTTCAGAACTGTGTGTGAAGAGCAGCTATCGCTACCACGAGAAAAAGTACATAATAGCATTTCTTAAGATCATTTTAATGAAATGAAATACATACTAAAGTTAGGCTACTGACATGCATATCAATAGCATTCTGCATAGAAACCAGAAAAAAATTAAGTATCAACTATTTAAAAATTGCTCTTTAATACTGCTTTAATATAGCAAAACAGGCACTTCCAAGGTCAGCTAGGGACATAGGAAAGGGGAGCTATGAAGAGCAACAGGAGGCAGTGCTAGGGTTTCTTTTTGGGAGTGCAGCCTTGAAACCCAAGAAATCCTCCTCTTTCCCTGCACTTATCTCTGAACTAAATAATAGTACAATAAGTTCTTGCCCCTTGCTTACCCTCTGTAGTCCTAGATTCCATTAGCTCCATAAGAACATACCCTGATCTGTCCTGTTCACCAATGCATCTCCAAGGCAAAGTTCAGTCTCTCACATAACGGAGGGTTATAAATATTTGATGAATGGGTGATGACGCTGGCAGCCAGAATCAAGCAGCCTCAAACAAAGAAACAGGAAAGGAGTTTGTGACCTTGGCTGAGAAGCCTGTTGGGAAAAACACCTCACTACACAGCTTTCTCCGACTTTGGTTTCTTGGTGGAGTCTGAGGCAAAAGCTGCTCACCTTGGACCAGGCTCTCAACACCAGGCCCCAGGATAGTCCGTCAGGTGGAGTAAATGCCAAACACCATAATGAGAAATTCATCTCAAGAAATTTAGGAGTAAACCATCAATCCTGAGAAAGCTCACACTTTCACGTGAAATTTGCTTATAACACAATATTCAGGGAAAAAAAGGTTTTTTGTGTGTGTGTGTGTGGGAGGAAGATCAGCCCTGAACTAACATGCATGCTAATCCTCCTCTTTTTGCTGAGGAAGACCAGCTCTGAGCTAACATCTATTGCCAATCCTCCTCCTTTTTTGTTCCGCAAAGCCCCAGTAGATAGTTGTATGTCATAGTTGCACACCCTTCTAGTTGCTGTATGTGGGATGTGGCCTCAGCATGGCCGGAGAAGCGGTGCGTCGGTGCACGCCCGGATCCGAACCCGGGCCGCCAGGAGCGGAGCGTGCGCACTTCAACACTAAGCCACGGGGCCGGCCCGAAAAAGTTTTAATACCACATTTATCTGGCTCCAGAATCCATATTCTCTCCACTGAACCGCACAGTCCCTGGCCCTTTAGGTTTATTCCCTTTGTGGAGACAGACATGCGACTGTCAGTCAAATAACTTGACAGACATCTTTCAATATCTAAATTTTGTAACTGAGTCCTTGAGCACAGAGTCTACATACATCAAGCCATTTTCTGATTGGAGTTTGGCTTTGTGTAAATATCTTCTGGGAGAATCATGCTGACCATGCCAACAAGAGAATTTGATCTCTGTGGTGTTTCTATTTGTCTCTGTAAATTGGTATCTCCCATGAGTTGGTTAACAAAAATTAGTGTCCCCTACCAAGAGCAATCAACTCTCCCCCTGACAAGAGTGAATGTATGAACAACCAAGGCTGAGGACTACTGCAAGAGGCCTCTTGGCAGTCAGCCAGCTCCTGGGGACACCATTCTCAACTCTCAGCACTTAATCACTTCGACAGGGTCCCCAAATTGCACTATAAGGTGCCTTCACCTATCACACAAATGTAAGAAGTCTTACCTTGTCTTCATAATCCAAGGGAATGACACCCTAAAATAACAGAGTAACATGCATTTGCAACTCTTGTCAACACAGAATTAGGCACTCGTCATCCTTGACGGGTCACCCCCAGAAGTGACCAGGCACCAGAGAGACAGAAGCCACAGTAATAGCAGGCCCTAATACAGTAATCAGCAGAATCCATGGAAAAAAGATGCTGAATCCAGAAGCAGAAGGCACGATCCCAATTCCAGAGTTACCCCAGTCAAATCACAAATTATTCCATTGGCTTCCTCATTTGTTAAAGTAGATGGCCCAGCTACCACTTTTTAGTATCATCTCACTATTTTCATCGTGTTAGAAAACAAGTCAAATCCGGTTCCAATACCAGCTCTCACCTCCCCTGTGGCTGTGGCTGAACAAAATACCCTCTCGGGGTCCAAGTTTCCTTCTCATGTAAAATGAAGAGGTTGAATCCAATCTCTTTAAATATTATGAAAACATTTAGAAGGCCAAATGTGAAATAAAGTATTTCAAACAAAGCAGGAGGAAGTTAAAAAACAGACAAGGCATAGACAATTGTTATTCTTTATAATAACCCTGTCAAGACTTGACAGCTAAGCCCTTCAAGAGGCAACTCCAAACCAAAAAACTAAGAAAGAAAATTATTTTCCAGGGCAACATATACTCAGGTGAGGAAGACTGGAACGCTTCCCACTTAGTCAGATAAGCTCTAAATTAATTCACGTTCTACTTTTCACAGGGCTTCTCTAAATCCATCCTGCCTGTCTTCCAAAGACTACTGCAAGACTAAGTGAAGTGCCAATGAACAACAGATCTTGGGGGAATGGAGTGGACTTGCAAATTAAGAAATTCTGTCTAGGGACCAGCCCCGTGGCTTAGCGGTTAAGTGTGCGCGCTTGGCTACTGGCGGCCCGGGGTTCGGATCCCGGGCGTGCACTGACGCACCACTTGTCCGGCCATGCTGAGGCGGTGTCCCACATACAGCAACTAGAGGGATGCGCAAGTATGACATACAACTATCTACTGGGGCTTTGGGGGGGTGGGGAAGAAATTCTGTCTTGATGTACAAGATACAAATGATCTAAAGAAGAGCCAGCCTCGACAGAAATTGTTGCCAACAAGCTACCACTTAGTTTTCAGAGTCTATCAGTATAACATACCCCCTCAATTACTTCGTGAAGTAAATGAGACAAGCACCTTTATTTTCATCTGACTCACGAGGAAATAGGGGTTCAGAAAGCTTACCTGACTTGCCAAAAGTCACAATGCCAACACTCAGCAACACTGGGAGTATGACCAGAGCCTAAGGTTCATAATTCCCAATCTGGCACTAATCTCACGATTCATATGCAAATTTACCTGGCACTGTCTGTCCTCTGAGACCCTCCGGCTCTTGCCCTGTGTGAGGCAGACCTCCTCCTCCTCGCTCTCACTGGCCCCACACTGCGGTCTGAAGATGGTCTTAGGAATTCCATCATGCCATGAAGCCTCTGCAGCCCGCTGATGAAGCTGCTCACTGAATCCAATGAAGATACTCCGAGGGTGTGGTTAGCACCAGATCCCTGCCTATGTTCCTCTGAAGCTCCTGGATCGATGTTCTCCACACTCTCTTCTCCCAAGGGCTCCACTTCCTCTGTCAGGTCAATGGACACCTGTGGAGCAGGCTGGAGCAGGGGTGGTCCCCCTTGGCTGCTGACCACTGCAACAGGAGCAGGCTGGAGCAGGGGCAGTCCCCCTTGGCTGCTGACCACTTCAGCAGGAGCAGGCTGGAGCAGGAGTGGACCTCCTTGGCTGCTGACCACTTCAGCAAGAGCAGGCTGTTCTGCAGCATGATGATCTAACTGCACCTGAAGATCATATTCCATTGCTTCATGAGCCATTACTGGGAAAGCAACAGTTGTAAAAAGTATTAGCAAAACAGAAAACATATCATGTACCTGATATAATCATATCTAGTCTTGTAGAATTTCTGTTTAAAATCATTACTGGCAAAACTGAGAAGCTTAAAGAGAAGATTTTAGTTACTTATTTTAAGTCAGAAGTGTTTTGGTAATCATCAACTTTTTCCTCCATAACAACCACTTATAACCAGTTTTCCACTTTGCCCTTTGAAAACAGAAAGTCATGTGATCATAGCACTGTCTTCTAAAATAGAAAGATCTATAAAATACGGAGATTGAAATATTGGGTCTGGGCCGGCCCCGTGGCTTGGTGGTTAAGTGAGCGCGCTCCACTGCTGGCGACCCGGGTTCGGATCCCGGGCTCGCACCGACGCGCTGCTTCTCCAGCCATGCTGAGGCCGTGTCCCACATACAGCAACTAGAAGGATGTGCAGCTGTGACACACAACTATCTACTGGGGCTTTGGGGGGAAAAAATAAATAAATAAAATCTTTAAAAAAAAATAAATAAATAAAAAAAATAAAAAAAAGAAATATTGGGTCTGAAAGTAACCTCCCAGACCTCTTGCAGTTCTTTGTCGTGACCTGAATATGGACATTTACCAAAACAAATGCATATAATGCTATATTTAATTTTAGTAGGCAATATTCATCTTGCATGGCACCAACTTACAAAGTATAAAAAAGAAAGGACATGTTCATACTTGCAAAACTAACTCAATTACTAACTCAAAATAGAAATTTACCTAATTTCTCCAAAAAGGCTGAGTAACCTTTATTTACCTGATCCTTTTCATTATTTTTGTTTCTTGTCTCTAATTCCATTTGTTAGTCCATTCAACAAATATTTATTAAGCACCTGTTATGTCTCTTTCATTGTTTCCCATTTCTAACTCCATTACATTAGTCTATTCAAGAAATATTTATTAAGCACCTGTTATGTAGTCAGACACCCCACAGAAGCCCAGACAGATAATACCTTGTGTAAGCTTTCACATTCTAGCAAATGGGAGAATAAACAAACAAATAAATGTGAAAACTATAGATTGTGATATTTGGTTTTGGGAATGGGAGGCAAGGAGCACCATTTTAGACACAATAGGAGAAAAGGCCTCTCAGTAAGGATGAAAATTGAGCCAAGGTGTGAAGGATTAAAAGAAGCTGCTCAGGGCCAGCCCCAGTGGCCTAGTGGTGAAGTTTGGCATGCTCTGCTTCAGTGGCCTGGGTTCGATTCCCAGGCGCGGGCCTACACCATTCGTCTGTCAGTGGCCATGCTGTCATGGCAGCTCACAGACAAAAAGAGGAAGATTGGCAAGGGAAAATCTTCCTCAGCAAAAAGAGGAAGATTCTCAATAGATGTTAGCTCAGGGCGAATCTTCCTCAGCAAAAAGAAAAGCTGCTCATATGAAGAGCCAAGGAAATTTCAGAAGGAAATCAGTACACAGGTACTGTGTACTGGTGAGCACAGATTTGGCACTTTTGAGAACAAAGCACTGTAAGGAAGAGCAGACAGTATGGGATGAGGGTGATGAGACAGGAAGCTATCACTAAATGCCTCAAGGGCCTTACTAAAGGGTTTCTTCTCTGTCAGCAATGGACTGTAGGGGAGCAGAGTGCAAGCAAGGTGACCAGTTTATAGGCTACTGTGGGAGTGTAAACTAGTGGTCACAGAGGCTTGGGTAAGATTGGTAGCAGTGGAGATGGAAAGGAGTAGACAGCTTTAAGAATCCTCAGCATAGTCATGCTACTTAAAAATCATGGGATAGATTAAACTACCTAAGAAGGAACAGAGATAGAAGAAAAGTGGGTCAACGACTAAAACCAGAGACACTAACACTAAAAGCACAACAGTTACAGGAAGAGAAGCCAGTAAGGAAGACTATGAGTAGGAGGAAACCTGGGGGAGTGTGGTGTTTTGGAAGAATGTTTCAAGGATGGAACGGTCAGGTGTGTCAAGTGCTACTGAAGGGAAGAATGCCCACGAGACTTAGCAATGTGGAGATGACAGATAATCTAGAAAAGAGTAATTTCACTGAAGTGATGGAGTCAGAGGCCAGATTGGAGTGGGCAGAGTAAATGGAGGAAATTCCAATAAACTCGATGGATGAAGCACAAACATCCTTCTAGTCATTCCTGAAAACCTATGAACATAACAATAAAAGAGTCATTAAAAAAAGGATAAACCAGGGGCCGGCCAGGTGGTGCAAACGGTTAAGTGCATGTGCTCCACTGCAGTGGCCCGGGGTTCGCCAGTTCGGATCCCGGGCACACACCACTTGGCAAGCCATGCTGTGGCGGCGTCCTATATAAAGTAAGGAAGATGGGCATGGATGTTAGCTCAGGGCCAGTCTTCCTGAGCAAGAAAAGTGGAGAATTGGCAGATGTTAGCTCCGGGCCGATCTTCCTCAAAAAAAAAAAAAAAAAAAGGATAAACCACAACAGCAAAGCAAATGCAAACAGGATATAAGATATGCAAATCACTTTCCCGAGGTCATAAAAGAGACTGATGACTGGTAACTACTTAGTAGAGCTGAAAAGATGAAACTCACATGCCTGGAAAAGAAGGAAATGTGTGCTATTGAGAAGCAAGCTAGTTCCCCATTAAGGGAATGGTAGAAACCAGGTACCACCGAAGACAGTGTTGAAAGATGGAGCTGCAAAGGAGGGTTGGTTGAAAGCCTGTAAAAGTAGTTAGCCTGTCTCCCACTCAAACAAAGAAACAGACTAAAAACTAGCCAGCTAGCCAAACAAAGAAAAACCTCTTTCCCCCTCTCCTGTAGGAAACTGAAGGTGTGAACCAGACAGGCTTAGGACCAGCATGGAAGGTGGCACAGATGTGAAAATAAAGAGGTAAGTGAAAGTCTACAAACTGAACAGGGTGAGACATTTCCAACCTTTCTCCCTAGCTTTTTTCCCCTGTACAAATCCAGGACACAATATTCTCGTTTATATACATTCTCTACGCCCCAAAGCAGATTCGAGGATTGTTCCCTAGAGAAAATCAGCTCAAGAAAAAAGATCTATAAATACTGACAGTTGTGAATCCCCCAGGAAAATGGCTGGGTCTCTGTCCACAAACCTAACAGTAAAAGCCCACTGGTTGGTAAGGTTCAGCCACTCATACAGAGCTTCCAATCAGCTTTCCAGAGCGGGGGTCTCTCCTTATAATGAAAAATAGCCAAAGATCAAGCGACATTTAAGGAACGCCTCCAACATGACAGAAGGAGACCAAACTAGACAAACAGAAAAAACTTGGAGGAAGAAAGAAAGACAAAGGAAAAAACAGTAAAAACAAACAAAAAAAAATTAAAAATCCAAACTTACAAGAAAAGAATGCCAGGGGAAAAAAGGACAAATCAGAAAACAATAAAGAGCTCTTGGAAATAAAAAATGACAGTCAAAATAAAGGATTTAATAGAAGGATTGTAAGATAAAGTCAAGGAACTCTTTCAGAAAGTAGAATAAAAAGACAGCCAACTAAGACAATAATAAAATTAAAAGATCAAGTCAGGATATCTGATTAATTGAAGTACCAGAAAAATAGAACTCAGAAAATGGAGAAGAAAGTAAAGCAAAACGGGGCCAGCCCCGTGGCTCAGCGGTTAAGTGCTCGCGCTCCGCTGCTGGCGGCCTGGGTTCGGATCCCGGGCGCGCACCAACACACTGCTTCTCGGGCCATGCTGAGGCCGCATCCCACATACAGCAACTAGGATGTGCAGCTATGACATACAACTATCTACTGGGGCTTTGGGGGGAAAATAAATAAAAAAAAAGAAAGTAAAGCAAAACCTCTAGTCAAGACGGAACCATAAGCTCTCTTCCTAAGAACCTCAACATGGTAAATTTTCCTCAAAAAACATATCCAGGGGCCGGTCCCGTGGCCTAGTGGGTAAGTTCGGTGCGCTTCACTTCAGTAAGCGACCTGGGTTCGTGGGTTCGGTCCCGGGCGTGGACCTACACCACTCATCAGCCATGCTGTGGTGGCGTCCCACATACAAAATACTGGAAGATTGGCACAGATGTTAGCTCAGCGCTGATCTTTCTCAAGCAAAAAAAAAGAGGAAGACTGGTGATGGATGTTAGCTCAGGGCAAATCTTCCTCAGCAAAAACAAACAAACAAACAAAAAAACCCCCAAACATATCCAATAGAAAAGAGTAGGTTACAAACAAATCCACCATAATTCCATTTTTAGGACATTTAAAAAGACGCAAAACCATGCTACTATCTGGACCTATAAATATATGATAGTAGTATAAAACAAGCCTGGGCATGAAAAACAGCAAATGCAGGAGACGGAGAGTGCAGGGGTACACAGGAGGCTTCACCTATATATAGAGTATTTTTATTTCTTAAAAAAGAAATTGGAAGCAATTATATTAAAAGGTCAGAGCCAAGATTTGTTAGATCTGGGTGGTGAGTACACAAGTCCTTTCTTAAATTATTATTATTCTCTGTACTTTTCAGTATGGTTAAATATTAAAAAAATGAAATATCTTCCCATCATATGCCAGTTCTGATTACAGAGAGCAATCCGTTCAGGTTAGAACAGGAAACCAGAGAGCTGAATCCTAGTCTGACTCATTAGTATATCCACAGTATCGAGTACATAGTAGATGCTAAACCACCATACACCTAAAAAAAACAAAACCAACCAAAAAAAACCCAACAACTAAGAGAATATCAGGACCTGATATAGAGAGATACAGATAGAGCACAGATATAGAACGTTTTCATCCTGGCAGAAAGTTCTACGGAACAGCGCTGTTCTGGAGCAAAGCTTCCCAGACAATGTGGGGAAACATGACCCCTCCAGCCCTTGGGGTAACCAGGGGTGTCTAGAGCGAAAGACCGTCGGCTGGTCATCTCAAGCCTCAAGCAGCCTGTCTTTGAGCTCCGCATGCCACACAAATGCTATTTTCTATGTGTGCCGCGAGAGTTGGTGCTTAAAATGTTAACCTCCAACTTGCCATCTTACCCAGCTTGGTTACTCAGATTTCAATGTCCACAACAGGCAGGATGCTGGCCCCAAATTAACAGGATAAGAGGCAGCAGCGGGAAGGCGGGCCCACTGGGACAAAGCCCTGCTCTGCCACTTACTACCTTACTAGCCTCTGTTAAACTGTAAAATGGGGATAATAAAGTATTTACGCCACAGTATTGCTGGAAGGTCAAGTTGGATGAAACTAACAATTAGGTTCCTCAGTTAACTTGAAAGTGATGCAAGGAACGGGCGCTCAATGGGAGAGCAATTATTTGCAGAGGAAGAGTTTGAGGCTTGGCTCCCGAGAGAGCGGCCAGGAGACCTCGGACTCCCGCCCGCCGCGAACTCGGCTCGGTCCCGCACAGTCCGAAATTCCAGCCTTCCCCGGCCCCCGTACCTCCCGACCTCGGGCGCCCCCACCCCCACCCCCCCCAGCAACCTCGAAAGAGCTGGGGTTCGGGAGCTCAGCCCCAACCGTTGGGGCCGCCCAAAGCGGCCGAACCTCCTCAGGCCGCCGGGTTCCATGCCTGCCCGCAGCCCACCTCGTGGGACGTCCCCAGGCTCCGCGTCCAGGGACCAAGCCCGGGGCGTTATGCCGGAGGCCCGAGACTCAAGGCCTGGGGAAGGGCAAGCGCCCTCCTCACCTGAAGCCGGAAAGACGCGGTCGGGCTCGCGAGAGGACCTCAGCAGCAGACCGTTCTTTCGCAGAAGTCTCACAACACCACCGCCAACCACCACTTCCTGGGCTGCTCAAGCTGCCCGCCTGAGCCGCGGACGTAGCCTGCTCCTATTGGGCAGCAGTCCCATCCGGCGGCCAATACCCTCTCTTCTTCTTCCTTTGGTCGCCGCGGGCTGAAACAGCGGCGCTCTCATTGGCTGGTCCTTCGTTAAACTGAATAGGCGGGACCACGCGCGAGGAGGCCTCGTACAATTGGTAGAAATCTACGTCCGTCTCCTCGCGCCCCGTTCCCAAGGAGAAGAGCAGAAACAGGGTTTGACCGCTCTTTATTTGAACTTTCTGGCGGGAGGAAATTGCAAGGAAAAGATTTCTCGGTCCATTTTGAAAAGAAGACGAAAATATTAAAACTGTGGCTCCTGCTGCTTCTCCCTAACTCTTTAGTGAAGGAGCTGTCTTTGTCCAAAAGCTGGTAGCTAATCCAATAATTTCAAAATACTGCCGCCAGAATTCTGGAGCCTGTAAAGAGGCGGGGGACAATCCCGTTCATATATATCCTTTTTGGGGTTGGAGAGATCATGCAAAAGAACTTGCTTATACAACCTCTTCAATCTCAAACCATTGCAATATATTGCCTGCTACTATAACTATCGTCACATCACTTAACAGCAAACGTTTTTCAGTCATCTCGCTGAAAGACAGAATCTCACTTTTAGGAAGAAGACCTAAAAATATAAACCTCAGGCACAGGCTGCACATTGTCAAAATTTTATTTATTCAGCTACCAATTTTCAGTGGAATCAGTAGCGGAGGAGAGCATAAATGAGTGAATGTCATAAACAAACCGAATATTGACTTTTCAATATTTTTCTCCTCCAAACCTGTCACCAAAACCAGTATTAGCGTTTGTATTTTTTTTCCATTTCCTGCCATCTAAGGAAGCTGCTGCTTAGTTATAGAATGGCTAACATGAGGAGAAAGGAATTTTTTCTTTAAACAAACAATATGGAGTAGAATGAAAAACCTTTTGAGTGACTCTCCCTGTTATATAAGTACTGTATGTTCAATGCAGAGAAATTAGACAATGCAGAGAAGCAGAAAAGAAAAATTGTCTCTATCCAGAGAAGTCATTGTTAACTTTGTTTAAAATCTACATCCATCTAAATACAGTCATGTGTCACTTAACAACTGGGATATGTTCTGAGTTGTTAGGTGATTTCGTCCTTGTGTGAACATCATAGAGTGTATTTACACAAACCTAGATGCTATAACCTACTACAAGCCTAGGCTATTTGGTATAGCCTATTGCTCCTACGCTACAAACCTATACAGCATGTTACTGTACTGAATACTGTAGGCAATTGTAACACAATGATATTTGTGTATCTAAACATAGAAAAGCTACAGTAAAAATATGGCATAAAAGATAAAAAGTGGTATACCTGTATAGGGCACTTAACCATGAATGGAGCTTGCAGAACTGGAAGTTGCTCTGGGTGAGTCAGCAAGTGAGCGGTGAGTGAATGTGAAGGCCTAGGGCACTACTATACACTACTGTAGACCTTATAAACACTGTACACTTAGGCTACCCTGAATTTATAAAAAATAATTTTCTTTCTTCAATAATAAATTAACTTTAGCTTACTGTAACTTCTTTATAAACTTTTTAAATTTGTTAACTTTTTGACTCTTTTGTAATAACACATAGCTTAAAACACAAACACATTGTACAGCTGTACAAAAATATTTTCTTTCTTTATATCCTTATTCTGTAAGCTGTTTTTTAAAAGTTTTTAAATTTTTTTTTTACTTTTTAACCTTTTTTGTTAAAAACTAAGACACAAACACACACATTAGCCTAGGCCTACATGGGGTCAGGATCATCAATATCACTGTCTTCTACCTCCACATCTTGTCCCACTGGAGGGTCTTCAGGGGCAGTAACACACATGGAGCTGTCATTTCCTATAATAACAATGCCTTCTTCTGGACTATCTGCTGAAGGGCCTGTCTGAGGCTCTTCTTGAAGAGATGTCACTCTTTTCAGATATATATCCATGATGATTTGCTTGATTTATTTCTTTTTTTT